CTTCTGCCAAACATTTTGTTTGAATGTTTTTTTTAACCCAATGAGTGGTAGCACTCTCCCCCTGATGAGTAATGAGTCTAGTGTTAAACAGTAAAATAATCTGGTGTTAGGTAGAGTAAAATAATAGACAACTGGTTGATCATTTGAGCATAGATAACTGGTTGATCAGTATAAATCCTTGCAATGCATCACACAGTAGTGAATACATATATATATAGTGTTGTGATAGTGCTGAATTTCCTCCATTTCATTCTCTACATTCACTGCCCCTCCTTCAGTTTCACCATCAACACTGCTACCACTGGGCACTTCTTCCATCATTTGGTGTGTATGAATGTCCGTCAGGGCAAACAGGATTTATTGGTCAAATAAAACAATTACAATCAGTTGGCTGGTGCAATTCTATTGGTGAAAGTACACTGTCCAGCTCATCAACTTGACTATCTGGGTCACATGGTGGGATGTTGGTGATGTTGAAATATCAACCTCCTTCCTGTGGATCATTAGGGTCGAAGAACTACATGATATGAAATAAAAATACGTTTAATACTGCTGTATTACAACAATTTTAAGCGAAATATATCAATCACATCATAGATGACTGTATTTTATATAATTTATACAGTACGAGAGCATTTTTATATTTCTATTTTATATAAATCATCTTACCTTAAAAACACAACTAGAGTGAATTTGTACCAGTGCAGGATTACCGCAATCAGGGAACAATTTCATCAATTTTTATCCCGTTAACCACAGCTTGACAAAGGACTATTCTTCAAACTATCTGTATTCCGTAAAACTATATAAGCATGAACCTCACGACATTTCAAGTTCATCACACGGTAGTCCTTCCGGAATCAAGATTAATGGCTGTTTTGACACACAGTGAACAAACAGAAGCTCGTGTCCACCCAAAAACGAAGCTTTCTTTCCACGAATAGTGCAAAAATTCACCATTTTACAATTTTTTTTCTATAAATCTTTTCCGAATCGCTCGAATCCTCGAGGTGTAAACAGAGCGAGAGCCGACCGAACAATGACGGCGCAGAGCGAGAAATCGGTAATATGTAAAAAACCGCCCCTGACCGCGTTGCATGCCGGTATAGTCCTCACTCCTCCTCTGATATTCTATGGTCATATTGTTTATCTTGCAGCCTAGTAACATTTCGCCATCGCTCAACGAGACATGCAAATGTTCGTCGGAATGTGTTCGGTACTCGATCGGAGAACAGTCGGAATCATAGGAATATCAGTCACCATTTCGAAATGGTTACTGTTGGTTTAAATGGCCTCGTTTTCATGTCAGATACTTACTCGTGTTTTGTGCTTAGTAGGGTTGAAAATTACTTTGTTATTGAGCCTAAGAACAGCAAGAAATAAATTCGTCCAGGAAAACATGGGAATATAATCTTTATCTGTCCCTGACATGCTAAATAAGTTAACATGGAAACGAGGCCATTGGGTAAAAGAGAATAATCTGTAAGGGCAATTGCTAGATAGCATACTTCAAAATAAGGTTTCCGTTTTTATATCAATTTTTAGAATAAGGGACCGGTCATTATTTATGGTGGGGGGTGGCACCGAAGAGAAATGTTTTTCGTGGCAAAAATTTTGCTGTCCCAACCATTAAAAAGTCAAAAATTTGATTACCCAACCTGAAATATCAATTTAAAAATAAATACCCACCCCTGGCCAAAAACTTTACAATAGGGTGACGTTCTGTCACATGAGTTGGATAATGGATTGTAAAATTTTCTGCAGTTTAAAGTTTCATGTTGTCTGCACATGTACTTTCTTTGGAGGTACCATTTGCAGGTCTCCCAACAAATCGGAAAATGATCAAGAGATAGTGACTCTGATTGATTCACATACGGTATTGTATTGACATATGACTGACTACTGTCGACATTGCCGTTAGTCTCCAATTTTTTAGTGAATCATGCTTTGAAAATGACAATAATTTTTTATTACCCAACCCCTGAGTTGTTTTGTTTTTCAATTACCCAACCTTTTACTCACTCAAAATTTTGTTTACCCAACCCTTTTCTCTTCAGTGCCACCCCCCGCCATAAATATTGACCGGTCCCTATTAAAGTTAAGATTAATTAGGTTGGGGTTAGGTTAGGTTAGGGTTAGGTTAGGGTTAGGTTAAGGTTAGTATTAGGATTTAGTTTTACGTTAGGATAGTTTTTTCTACGTTATAAAAACGGAAACCTTATTTTGAAGTATACTATCTAGCAATCACCAATCTGTAAGGTCTATTAATTTACAGATAGGTGATGGTTACACAGTGGTTATAGTGCGGTGTGCTTTCCATTGCTAGTGCTAATCACAGCTCAACCTGATCGAGTCGAAGCCGTTCCTAAGGGCGCCTCTGGCAGCCACTATGACTCTGCTATGACTGATGTCTGATCACGGAGCACAGCTACGGTGGGAGGGTCAGTTAGTGGTTTGCCCCAAACCACCCTGTCCAAACCCAGAGGTCCAAACCGGTGTACCCAGAGAAAATGCACTACTTTCGGTAAAGCATTGATCGATTCTTTTCCGACATAAGTGCCATGAGTCGAACCCGCGATCTCAGAGATGAAAGCCGAAGCCCTTAAAATTCACCTCGGTCGCATGAGAGAAAAGTTCTTTCAGTTCAACTCTACAAAACACTGATAGTGAAACGGAATACCTCAATATCCTATAGCCTAGGCTTACTGGATCTTTGTTCCAAAAGTCGGTTAGTACAGCTGCAGGCAGGTGATCGCCACACTGAGAAATTTCTGACAAAGGGCCTCAAAATTAATGTTATTTTAAAAATCCTTTGAAGTGGTGCTGATGGAGCTGTTCAATATAAACTTAGATAAGCTTAATTTAAAAAGGCCCTTCTGAAAAACTTGACCATTACTTCAAAGATAAAAGCACCGAATGGCCAAGAAGGGTTTTTATATTATCAAGCTGCGATTATCATCAAGGCTGTTATCATTTAAGCCTTCAGACGAAGGGCCTTCGCTCGAAACGTCGAGGCCTCGAAGTATTTTTCAGATAGTCGTATCCGGCCTATCAATCAGACCGTTTGTTATCAGTCAAATTTAGCTTTGTCGGTTCTTACGTAAACTCTCGATATTGCCCGGACATATAATGATAATTTTCGTATCAGTAAGTTATCATTAATGTCTGGACTGAACCGACAATTAAATTAAATTTTATCGAATACGTCTGAAAATATATTAAGGGAAGATTTATGAGTGTTTATTCGGCCTGATATATTTTCACAAAAAATATTTCTACTTGCCGATCTGAATGTAATTGAAAAGTGTTACGCTCATATATAATTTAGAATAAAATAGGCATATATATTTCTAGTAATATTACTGTATTGTACACGGAAGCAAACGGCCATAACATTACAAAATCTTTACTGTAACAATAAGTTTAAAATTTCAGAATTTTCATTATAAAAAATATTGAATATTATAGTTACCCGTATGGATTATAACTTCGTCGGTTAAAATCATCCTGATATGTTCCCCATGGCGGATTGGCCATGAAATAGCCCGTTTTCAAAGCCTTCTTGATTTGTCCTTCAAGTAAAATTCAATAAATGAAATGCATATAGATTCATCTTGACACATTTTCAGCCAAAACTCGCGCGAATTTGACACCCATCAAGCGAACATCGCCACAATTTCAGACTCGGCGTGATGTCTATTAATCCACAAGTCCTTCTATGTTTTAGAATAAAACTTTTTTTAACTACAAACTATAGTTCAATAAAAACTACGATCTCTGTCTGTACAAACGTGAGTCATAAACATAATTCGGGAAAAAACTATCAACTAAATACAAAAAACGACTTCGCGTCTTAGTATAAACAGTATTATAATTATAAATGTCTTCGAAATTTTTTTTTAGCTTGTCATTTGTGAATAAATTTAGATATATTTTTTAATGTAAAACGCAATGGGTCATCAATATTTATCAAAAAAGTACTGTATTACAGCGTCTGGTCGCTAAGTTACTGAATTTAATAATATGTAAGTAAACAATTGGACGGCGGCTGTTTAAGCTGTACCGCATAATGAATTGAAATATTTGATAGTTTGTTTACTTATGGTAAATATAAAAAGTGGAATAGCCCGATGCGGAATGCTAAAGTGTCTCGAAGTTTGCGTTCGCATAATTAGTTACAGAATTTAATTTATATTCAGGCGCTGTATTTAAATAATATTGAATTTAATTTGCAGTAATTTAGAGCAAAAAGAAAGGCAATTAACATAAAAGACGAAAACTTTCTTTCCAACATTTTTGGTCAGCTCTGATTGGTTATTTAGCTTTCATACAGCTCGTCTCTGATTCGCTGAGCCGGAAATTTCCGGCAAATTTCCGTGGATGTAAAGAAATATAGATCTTAGTTGTGGAAACACACACGCACTCGCGCGAGTTTTCGCGGGACTTTTGCGGGACACAATCAGATCAGTGAACACATTATGGAGGTCAATTCGAAAGGTTTTTAATGATTTTTTATACAATTTTGTAGCACATATGCTGTAAAATACTGTTGATAGTATCTATATTTTTGTTATAAATCGCGCAGGGGTGCATTTTTCATTTTTACTTGATAAAATAGTACATGTGATATATAAAAAATCACAAACTTTTTAATGTTTTTTTTTTTATTAAAGAAAGCTCTTTAACATCTGTGAAACATGTTATTTTGGTGCTATCTGGAAAAGGTGGAGTTGGAAAAAGCACTGTGGCTTCACAATTGGCGTGTTCTTTGTACAGGAAAGGAATGAAGGTATTGTGGTAGACATATTGTGATATTGGCATAACCATAGAGATTATAAATAACACTAGAGGAGGCATTGTAATCTTAATTCAGTAAAAAAAAGGGAACGCGACTATTGGGGGGCAAATTCAAGTCCCGGATGTGTATTCGTGTTCCCATTGGTGACGAGTTTCAAATCAGCCAATGAGAGCACGATTTTATATCCGGGACTTGAATTTGCCCCCCATTAGTTGCGTTCCCAATTTTTAAACTCGATGCCTCCTCTAGTGTTATTTATAATCTCTATGGGCATAACTATAGCATATCCCACAATATATGATTGGGTGTGGCTACATAGCTATGCCATGGTTATTAGGGTGTGGCTAGGGCTATTAGGGTTAGTATTATCAGGTATTATGTAGCCACATAGCCATGTAGTCACCATGTAGCAATGTAGTGTTGTGGTCATGTCACTCATTTATTCACATGGCCAAGTTAATTGTCTTAATACTTTTGTATATTAGGTAGGATTGTTGGATGTTGATCTCTGTGGGCCAAGTATCCCACGGATGATGAAACTGGAAGATGCTAATGTTCATCAATGTTCAGACGGGTAAATAACCAGTGACTATACATTTACAAATTGACTGGCTACTGGGGGGAGGGTGGCAGGGCATTGCCCTGGGAGCTCTCATTTTTAGTAGTATTTCTGCTGTTTGAAAACATGAAATCATATGTGGCCAAGGAAAATTTTACCGAAGGCGTCACAAACCCTGATTAATTAGCATGTACATGTATGTTAAACTTGATTCCTAATGCAACTAGCAAGTATGAAATAGCCAAAGTTGACATACCTTGCAGGTGGGTGCCAGTGTACACCGGTTCTGACCAGAGACTTGGGGTTATGTCCATCGGTTTCCTGCTTGCAAATCGAGATGATGCTGTTGTGTGGAGAGGACCAAAGAAAAATTGTGAGTAGATTCAATAAATATAAACTTATGGATCAGTGAAATACATAATTCATCACCAATTAATCATGTTGCCACTTGGTCAATCATTTAGTCAATTGGTCATTTAGTGGCTGGTCAGTTGTTCAGTTGGTTGGTCTGTCAGTCGGTCATGTAGTTGGGTTGGTCATTGAGTCAGTTGGCTATTTGGTCGGTCAGTCATAATTTAGTCAGTCGGTCAGTCATTTAGTCTGTCAGCCAGTCTGTTACTTGGTTGGTCAGTCATTTAGTCGGTTGTTTAGTTGGTTTGTCTGTCAGTCGGTCATGTAGTTGGTCAGTCATTTAGTTGGTTGGTCATTTGGTCAGTCAGTCGGTTGATCATTTAGTGGGTTGGTCATTTAGTGGGTTGGTCATTTAGGGGCTGATTACATGGTGCCGAGCTGGCCCGGTTAACCAGGCTGACTCGTTTGTTTAGGACCTTACCACAAAATAAATAATAAGACCAGAAGTCTCACTCGATGTCGGAATCTTTGATGTTGATGTCCCCGCGCATGTCGCCTCGCGCATCTTGGCCGCGTCTCGTTTCCAGTGCCCTAAACAAGTGTAATTTGACAAATTTACATGTAAACATTAAGGAGTGAGGAAGTTAAAACGATACCAATCGAGTTTTAGACCTTTGGTGACCATTTTAAAAGAATATATGATAAATTCAAAGGTAAGTCTATCGTATTGCATTGTCTTAAATGAATTCTCAGCTAAAATACGGCAATAAATGGATCATAAATTTAGTTAAATTCACTGTTGACAACGAGGTTGACAGATCCAATGATTTTTTCCTTGAATAGCTTTACCATAGTCATTTTACCTTAAAATGTGGCTACCAAGGATATCTCTAAGAGATTTTACACAGATTTTACACAATCTCACGATTTAATCATGCTGATAACATGAAAATCCTTGTGCCATTGTATACTTGGCATAATCTCCACATCAATAGTTCACCAGTTCAACACTTATAAGTTATAAATTCAATATATTTTTGAACCAGTCCATATATTATTATACACAATGTAGTATAGTTAATTTGACCATTGAGAAGTAAGGGGTGTATTACATTACACAGACACTGCTGAATTTTAGGTTACATGCCATTGGATTGATATATAAAAACATTTGTAAAAACACACATTATCTTGTTGATAGAATAGTTATTTGCAGTATACTAACTGTTGGCATACTCTATTTCAGGCCTATCAATTGTTTTTGTCACTGGCAATCTTTGAAATACAATCTTGCTCTGTGGCCTTTACTGACAAGTTGGCTTTTACTACATATGTGGCACTGACACTTCTTTAATTAATGCACCAGTCAATGTAAACCCCCCAACCGGGGAGGGGCAGGGATTTTGACTTGGAGGGGTAGTAAAAGAGCAAAATTGTCCCGCCCCCAGGGACATCAATGTCCCCTGCATGTCTCTCAACTGCAGGAAAATAGTTTTGTATAATCATAGATCAGCAATTAGGGGTGCACCGGATTTCAAATCCGGCCGGAATTCCGGCCGGATTTAACAAATTTTTCGGCATCCGGCCGGATTTGGAGAAAATCCGGCCGGATTTAAATTTCTGTTTTCACCTTAAAAAATTCACCAAGAATGGGATAAACCATCAATTTGGCAGCTTTAAAGCTTAAAAAACATTTGTATTATTATAAAATATTAAGTTATTAACAAAAAGATGTTTAAAAAAGGTTTAAGGTGGCTCGATATAGTTATCACAAAAACCCTGCTCAAGAATCGCGAACAAAACTGGGCGACCATTTTTACGCGCAGGTCGTGCAAACTGATTAACAAAATGAAAGAACTTCCAAAATGACCTGACGTGAGCAGTTGCTCCCGCCATCTCACGTCATTGCGCGTGTTGTATAGCGTTTTGTGTCGATTGCTGACGTCATTAGAATTTCCCATTTTAGAAAAACAATGCGCTATATCTCTTTATTTTGCCTGGTGACCTATGTTCAAATTTTGCATGCTGTATTGCACCGCTAAAAACTTTCATTATACAAAAAATAAAAAAATTCTGTAATGCCAAAAAAATTTTACCGAAGAATATGACATTTTCGCATTTTCCAAAAAAATGGCATTACAGAATTTTTTTATATTTTGCTAATTGTTAGCTTTTCGTCCAAGTAAAACAATGCAAGAAAAAAAATTGGGGGTCACCATGCTTTTTTTCCAACTATACGAAACGATAGGCCATTTTGGAGTGAATTTCGTACACGTATGTCGTCATAGCAACGAGCTATCTGTTACTAAAACTAATATAATTTGAAAGTAGAGTTATCAAAATATATAAAAAACACCAATATCTGCTGAATAAATCCTAGAAATGCGTAGTTTGAACATGTCAAACTGTTAATTAAACACCTGAATTTTTGAAAACTGTATCGAGCCACCTTAAACACAATCAAAAATCTAAACTGACACTAACTAAAAATAGTAAAAAACATAAACCGTCTTTTTGAATACTGATTTATCCCCAATTGTACCCATTACCGGTTTATCTCAAATCCGGCCGGAATTCCAGCCGGAATTTTTGCCCAAATCCGGTAAATCCGGTTCCGGCCGGATTTGAAAATTCCAAATCCGGTGCACCCCTATCAGCAATAGAAAATCAAATTCATTTATGTTGTTGTATTTAAACTTTTCTTGTCAAGAAAACTAAAACAGCAACACAGGATATATATATATTAACCACCGTCCAAGTCTCCCATCATCGGGGCAAATTTATAATCAAAACGGACCACTTTCCCCACTAAACCTCCCGCCCCTCCCCGGTTGGGGGCAGGGATTTACATTGACTGGTGCATAACTAGATGATTGCATGAAAGTTGATTTACGTATAATTAGTTTATAAATAAACTCGCACTTTCATTGTAGAGGTTAAGATTTGAGTTCTACTAGCACTATCTCTGACTGCCTTAGTATGCATCTGATTGGTTATAATGGTTGATTGAATATATCAAATGCATTTGATGGTCCCTTAATGGTAATGGTAGTCAAATCTGAACCTCTATAATGTCAATGAAGAATGCATACTGGAAAAGTATCAAATTAAATTTTAATTGTCAATGTTGTGGAAAGTAAATAAATCAAACAATTCTGTTTGTTTCAACTAACTAGTTCACTATCACTTTGGTTTTCAAATCAAAGAATCTTTAGCCTGGTTGAGCTTTTGAAAAAGTAGCTACTTTAGTGAACGCAAGATTATTTTACTCTGTCTAACACCAGACAATTTCACTCGTCAAGGGGAAAGTGCTGCCATTCAGTGAACTCAATCAGAGCTCAATGAGCAGCAGCACTCTCCCTCGATAAGTAAAATCATCTGGCATTAGATGAAGTGAAATAAACTAGTAAAGTAGGGTGCATTGGGGCACAATGCAGCTTACTGGGTTAACTGGAAAATATATTTATTTAAACAATACACACCCTATACTTGTATTTCAATTCATAGCATGATTTGGTATGCTTATGTCTATTTGACCCGAGTACCAGACAGGAATGATATTTGAATCACACCTGTATTCATTGAACAAAGCTAATTTAAATGTACATTAATTGTACATGAATCATGTAGATGTAAAAACTAGAGCAAAAACACACGTGGTCCACACAGCTTTGTTTTTTTCTTTTTCTTGAGAAGGAATAACTGAGTTACAATGAGACCAGTATCAACAATTTCAAAAAGGTATTGTACAAAAATATTACAAACATAAGACACTTTAAAGACAGAAAACACACAAAGTATGTCACTACAGAAACTGTATTCTGTGATATAGACGATATTGCTTTAAGGAAACTTGCAGCTTTTAAGGGCCTGTTTATATCGAAACTGGCTGGCCTGGTAAGTGAGATCTCGCTGTCTACTTATTTTTATAGTAAAAATTATAATTAAAATTGTTTCTATGTACAAGCGGGAGGCCCTGTTGCAGAGACCAGGATGGAAATTTCTCCATATAAACAATCACAAGCAGGCTAGCCCAGTTGCCAGGATGAAAGTTCAACGATACTGCCGCAAGCTATTTTTAACAACTGTCAAAACAATGTCAAAACAACAAAATTGTCCCGGTAAGCAGGATGAAATTTTCTCAAATAAACACAAAAGAAATCATCCTGCGTATCTACCTTACCGGGCTGTTCTCGCTAAGCGGGCCAGCCCGGCTTCCATACAAACAGGCCCTAACAGTCTCTGTCAGGCAATTACAATGTTCTAATGTCCAAACTCTAAAGTATTATAAACAAGCAGGACAGACCACTTATTGCAAGTTGCTAGTATTAAAGTCATATCAACATGTGATATCGACATTACAGTGTATAAACTAAAGTAATTCAGCTTCTACACATGAAGCAACTTTAAACACTATCCTTACACTTTATCAATTCATTGAAGTTTGTCATTCTATTTGTAGTATTTACATCACAAGACATATTCTATTTGTAGTATCAAGTCACATCAGGATTTTATAATCTAGCGTTTTTGGACCCAAGTGATCTAGAGTTCTATCTTGTTAAAACCTATCCAAGGAAAAACAAGAAAGGGATATTGAAGTATTGGTGTTTTTGAGCCAAATAAATTTGAATATCCACCAGTATAAAAGCAGTACTCCGTATATACTGGAGACAAAATGGCATAATAGCGAACACATTTTAATGATGTTCAAATTTATATTTAGTGCGCTATTTTCTTTAAAATATGACCCTGTTTGCTTTCTAAATACAACAAAATTACTGCTTTACCTTCTGTTCAAATAGTTCCACAGATAAATCGAAGTCACATTTCGTACTACTTGAAAAAAAGCTGTTTTTACTGTAGAAATGACAACTTCCCAATATAATTTTCTATTGTCAACATTGCATTACACTTGTTTAGCTCGCGCATGCGCAATAAAAAAGATGGGACATGTTTCCGCTTGAGTAAGACTTCTGGTATTATCTCTTCTGTGACCTTACTGTGGTTTTAAAACTCGCGTAAAATAAATTTGCGATAAATAATTGGTTTAGTATAGATGCAAAATCATCCTAAACCCGATTTAAAACTCATTTTGCGGCCCAAGGAAGATTTTCGTGACATTTTTCAGCCCGGTTAACCGGGCTGGCTCGGTCCATGTAATCAGCCCCTTAGTCGGTTGGTCATTTAGTCGGTTGGTCATTTAGTCATTTGGTCATTTAGTCGGTTGACCATTTAGTCGGTTGGTCATTTAGTTGGTTGGTCATTTAGTCAGTCATTTAGTTGGTCGGTCAGACCTTACTAGTCCCCTCACTAGTAATAATTGTTACTCTTTTATTCTCCATCTCTTTTGTAATTCTTTAGCCATGATAAAACAGTTCATTACAGATGTATGTTGGGGAAGTCTGGATTACTTAATCATTGATACCCCACCTGGTGAGTGAAATTGAACTTACCTCTGTCGTTAAAACCGTCAGAGAAGACCATAGATCTTTATTGCTTTAGCAGTGTTTGGACTTTGGTGTTTTGCTACTAGAGTATGTTTCCGTTTACAGGCACATCTGATGAACATATAACGGTTGTAGAAAGTCTGCGAAGCTTCAATCCAGATGGAGCCATCCTAGTTACAACACCACAAGTTAGTTTTGTCCAGTTTTTAGATAAAACGATTTTACCAGCATTCTTCTAGTAAACTGTTTATACGGTTGAATTTTATTCATTTTGCTTTTTCAAAACAGGCAGTGTCCGTTAACGATGTAAGACGGGAGTTATCATTTTGTCGTAAGACAGACCTACCTGTCCTTGGAATTGTTGAGAATATGAGTGGATTTATTTGTCCACATTGCTCAGTAAGTGTCAGTCTGGCTGTTTTTACACAATATGTTCTTCCGGAAAATGCTAGTCTTGGTAATAGAGCCTCGTTTTTGTGATTGAAATAGAGACCTTAAAGTGCATATGACATGAAATTTTTTATTTTCTTGAATGAAAGAACTCTTTAAGTTGTAGTGTAACGTATTTTCAGTTTCTTTTTTTTATGGTTTGTTCCTGAGATATTTCAATTTGTTTTATTATGTAAATGAGTGTGAATATGTCCGCTAATTTATGACGTCACTTTGGTTGCAAACTTGCAAGCTCAACTTACACTGGTTATAAATCTATTAACTTTAAAAACTGTAGATATCAATTCACGTTTTTGGTACGAGATTGCACATTTACCAGTGAGTGAAGTTTGAAATTATCATCTTACCGTAGATGATAGCAGTGATATTCAACCAAATTAAAGAGCTTGCAACCAAAGTGACATCATAAATTAGCGGACATATTCATACTTATTTACATAATAGAACAAATTGAAATATCTCGGGAACAAACCATAAAAACAAGAAACTGAAAAAATAAGTTACACTACAGCTTAAAGAGTTCTTTTATTTAAGAAAATTTCATGTCATATGCACTTTAAGATGTAGGACGGCGAAGCGACGACGACGGCCAAAACAAATTCATTCAAATGATTGTAAAGAAAGCTCATCGTATATTATTAATCGCATGAATTTGAAACAGCTTGAAGAGAACAAAACAGAGGCTTTTTATCGAGTAGAATCCCACATTAGTACTGAACCAATTTGCTGAGTATCCACTTCTTACGTACTAAAATGCAAACGTTGTACACAAGACGCAAAAAATTCTGGTTCAGCAGTTGTAAACAGACCGTTTTGTCACAGATAACAAAACGTATAGTTATATCAGTAACTATAAAAGACCTGTTTATAATTTTATAATCAGTAACAAGATAACAGGATTTCAAGTTACTGATTGAATACTTTTCTTGAAAACTGTGCTTTATGTACTTGGAGTCTCAAATTTGTACCAGCTCAAGTACTGTACGTTGCAACAATCATTGAAGCAATCAATATTTCTACCTGTAGGAATGCAGTAATGTATTTTCCACTGGTGGTGGTGCAGCTCTTGCGAAGCAATGCGATGTTCCATTCTTGGGTAAGAGTGGTCTAATTTTTTCACTGTCTATACTGAAACACTTACAACAACTAAGTATGTTAACATCTGCAGTGATTCGTGTCTTAACTACCAAAAAATTATTGGACAAAAAGTGCACTGCAGTTCAGACACAAACCACGACCACTACGTTTGAGATATCTTTTTCAGGTAGTTCAGACACAAACCACGGCAGCTTATTGTTTATTGTAGAATACTACCTACACTGGACCACCACGTTTGAGATATCTTTTTCAGGTAGTTCGGACACAAATCACGGCAGCTTATTGTAGAATACTACCTAGCAGTACACTGAACCACCACGTTTGAAATATCTTTTTCAGGTAGTTCAGATACAAACCACGACAGCTTATTGTTGAATACTCCCTACACTGGGCCACCACGTTTGAGATATCTTTTTCGGATAGTTCAGACACAAACCACGACAGCTGTTTCACGCAGTTCAGATACAAACCACAGCAGCTTATTGTAGAATATTGCAAACATTTTTAAATGTGCTGCGACAGATGCCCTAACTACCTATTATTTTGACGAACGTCGATGCCCCCCCCTTTAATGTTGGGTCTCAGACTCTTAATTAGTATAATCTTAATTAGTATAATGTCTGGATTGGGTAAACAACATTGAATGGGGAGGTGGAGGGTCATGTGTGTAATAATTTGCAGATGCATAGATACTACGGATCATCCACAGTGGATAGATATCCACTGTAGAGGATCCGTTTGTTTGTTCATACTTTAATATTTTCTCACTTGACTAGGCTGTATTCCACTGGATCCAAATCTTGCAAGATGTCTCGAAGATGGTGAAGATTTCCTACAATCATTCCTAGATTCTGAAGCTAGCAAGAGTTTCAACAACATTGTCACAGAACTTGTTCATTTAGATAACAAAACAGAAACTTGATATTTCCCTCTAAAAATCTAAGTCTAATATTTAAATGTAAACGAGATTCATCAACAACCATTCCTTATTTCCTTAGTATTACTGCCCGAAAAAACTGGAATATATTTCTTACATATGACGAGGCAAAATGGGGCTTCGGTGGCAAAGTGGTTAGCGCACTTGCCTTTCACCTCTAAGGCCGCAGGTTCAAACCTCACTGAGAACTTTCTCAATGCCACTCGAACCCAGTCCTCATGTGAAAAGAGTCAGTCAACGCTCTGCCGAAAGTCGTGGGTTTCCTCCGGGTACTCCGGTTTCCTCCCACAGGGAAAGTTGACAGGGTGGGTTAGGTAAAGGGACCCACAGTAATTGGCATATGCTGTTGTGGTGACCCTGCCCTAGTTGGCAAAGCTAAATAAATAAATAAATAAATAAAATGATAACAGTACTCAGAGAAGACTAAGGGAGTGATCATTATTTTTGGTGGTGGGTGGCACCGAAAAGAAAATGTTTTGCTTGGCAAATATTTTACTGATCCAACCATTAAATCGGAGAATGATCACACTGGTTTACATATTGTAGTGAGATATGACTGTTCAAATTCGCGTATGAGTGTTCGCAATATTTGAGTGAGTCATGCTTTGGAAATGACTGTAAATTTTTATTATCCAACCCTTGAGTTATTTTATTTTTCATTTACCCAACCTTTTGCTCTCTCAAAACTTTGTTTACCCAACCCTTCGGTGTCACCCCCCGCCATAAGTAATGACCGGTCCACCTGTTTAAAAAATCTCAACTCCAAACAAACTGTGATTCATCCATGTTTTTGCAACACTGACATATTTGATACATTTACAGTATTTATCGGAGTGAGAAAAACAACTTTCCGAAATACCCACAGAAATTAAATTAGAAATTGTTTTATATTATGACTTTGCATGTTTTCATGCCTATCATGACTTTCACAAACGTTTAAGAGAGCAAGGCTATCAGACGTGTCTTTTGCATTCCATAATACAGTCGATTGTTTATTATATGTCATTGTATTATTTACTATAGTTTGAAAATTCTCGTCCTTTCATTGACCATATCATGTCATCATAGATTGAATATACAAATAGGTGTAATAATTAAAATGCGACTAATCCCAAATACGATTTTTTGTATGTGTAATATTTGGGTCATTCGAAGAAGAAATGTAATATATCTTTATAATAAAAAATCTTGATCAACTTTTTCACTGTCAAATATGTTATTAGAGATGAATTGCAAATTAGTTTTCCTTTGTTTTTTGTACCAAAAATTTACCTAATGACATCATATCTGGAACTTTGACAGTGAAAAAGTTAATCAAGATGAGGTTTTTTTGCAATAAAGATACATTACATTTCTTCTTAGAATGACCCAAATATTACACATAGTTGGTCGCACTTGAATACACCCTATAGAGTCTTGTTTTTGTGATGGAGATATTGGGTTCACAGCCCTTTATAGCTGACACATTTACGAAACGGCACAGTTATTTCAGTGAAAATAAGTGACAAGGTAAAAGGCCTTTAAACAAACGGCTCAAATATAGAAACGAGGCTCCTTACCGGAAGGGTGTATTTCGTTTTTCTATTGTCCTAAGAATGGTGGTCAGTTGGTTTCATTTTCTGTATCAGTGAACAATCCAGTCTGCACTTGAGATCAGTGTTCTCACGACCGTGACCACTATTTGTATATTCAATCTATGGCATCTACCTCGATATACCCACCGGTTGCTTGAGTGCGATATGCTTTGCTTACATGAAGTACTCAGCTACCGCTGCTACTCAAATCGTCATCACTGAACGTGTCACTATCTGACGAGCTGTCACTGCCAAGATTAGGGACACCTGTGCCATCACTCGCAACATTCATGGACAATATGCCAGATCTGGGGAATATGAAGGAAATAAATAGAATGATTAATCAAATATCACTGAATTTGGTCCGGGTTGTCAACAGTTTAAGAACGTGCACTATTGCTTCGGTACTTCGAATGAAGGGCCCTTCCTAACACAGGATATTCGCTAAAAAGTCAAATCGTTCTGTCTTTTTAGGGTAGTTCAGATTGTGACCACGGCTGCCATTCTGTATATTTTCGAATATTCTAAGCACGGGGATTCAATGTAGGTAGCATTCTTACACGCGTAAAAATCTCACATTTTCTAGCAAGCCTGCAAACAAGCCGTCAACAAGTTGTGTTCGCACTGCTTGTCCCAAGTTGTCAACACGTTTGGGACAAGCTGATTATCAGATTTGTTGCAAGGTTGTTCCAACAAGTCTGATACAGTCATGATATAGCAATATTGTTACAACCTTGTGTCATCAACCTTGTAACATTCTTGTTATGTCTGACTGTATCAGACTTGTTAGAACAACCTTGTAACAAGTCTGGTAATGCCATCAAGCTTGTTACAAGTTGTTAACAGCTTGTTCCAAACTTGTTACAACAACTGGGAACAAGCAGTGCGAAGACAACTTGTCGAGCAGATTTGTAACAACTTGTTCGCAGATCTGTAACAACTTGTGCGTTTTTACGTGTGTATTACACAGTTGTTACAAATCTGTTCACAAGCTGTCAACAACTTGTGTTCGCACTGCTTGTTCCAAGTTGTTGTAACAAGTTTGGAACAAAGCTGTTAACAACTTGTAACAAGCTTGATGGCACTATCAGACTTGTTACAAGGTTGACGATACAAGGTTGTAACAATATTGCTATATCATGACTATATCGGACTTGTTTGAACAAACTTGCAACAAGCCTGATCATATCAACAAGGTTATTAGAAGTTAACAGCTTGTTCCAAACTTGTTGACAACTTGGGACAAGCAGTGCGAACACAACTTGTTGACGGCTTGTTGGCAGACTTGCTTGAGATAAACTTAACGTTCGATGATCAGTATAGACGAAATAAAGCTTACCTTGGGATGGGTTTTTTGCTGGAACTTGTTTTACCACTCTAGAAGAAGAACAAATGTGTTGAAGTTTCTTTGACAAGTTTAGTGTTTTATAAAAACGGAAACCTCGAAGACGTAAATCATAAGATTCAACCATGCCAGAAAATAGAAAATCTCGTTTACGTTTTAGGAATCAATTCAGACGTTCAAGAACTGTTAAACATGCAAGTGAAAATAAACAGTAATTAAAGGCAGCCTTTTGAATAATGGTTTTAAGGCGCATTTCAGCTCTTTTTAATTGAAAAACTAACTAGGAAAATCAATTAAGCATAATTCAAGATCAGCAAACTCAATGTTTTTAACATTTTAAAACATTTTTATTGTTAAAAACATTGAGTTTACTGATCTTGAATTATGCATAATTGATTTTCCTAGTTAGTTTTTTCAATTAAAAGGGCTGAAATGCGCCTTAAAAACCATCGTTCAAAAGGCTGAACTGTGCCTTTAAAAAACTCAAAATAAATTAATAATTCATGCAGAAAAGACAAAGGAAATCACTGTCGTGTCAGTGGTTTTATATGTGATAAAAATCATGTTCGTTTACATCAACTTTACCTTTTTCTTATCCTCAGATGTTGATGCGGTTGCCAAGGATTTTTTCAAGGCTTCTGTTGCTTTATTAGGCATGTCGGTAGCAGCACCGATAGCTCCTACATTCCACACAGCCTGTTGCAAAAAATAAAGAAATAAATTACCATTAAGTGCAACAGTGACATATGTTGGATAGATTTCATGGGAGAAGTGTAAAAATATTAACCGTCCTTTGTCAATCTTACATTAGGATTAGGGTTTGATAAAAGTGTTAATTTCAGTGCTTTTAATC